GCCACTTCCGGCTTTTTTCTTATGTGGTGCTGAGGAATCAAACCCAGGGCCTCAGGCATGCAAGGCAAGCGCTCTACCACTGAGCCACCTTCCCAGCCCCATAATTCTTATTTTTATGCTGCACATCCTGCTGCAGTTAACATTGTCAAACACTCTGGATGCAAAAGTTAATGTACTGTTCCAACATCTAACTATAAGTGCTAAAGGAATAGCAACTTCTTCAGATGTTGCTTTGTAAAATAATGGCAATGAGGCATAAAGGAAGACATAAGGACAAGTACCAAACACACATGTCCTCAAGTGTAACTAACGTGGAATGACGGAATCTCCCAGGTCTGCCTGACTGTGAAGAAATGTTGACGAGTTAGTAACTGTTCCAGACACTGTGCCTGATCAGCTGCTTCAGAGGAAAGCAAATCCGAGAGGAGACAGAGGAGGGCTGCCAGTGATGCAGCCCAGGGCCTTCCTTCCCTGGTCTTGTGCCTTGGGGAGCTGACACAAAGCAGCAGAAGCGGGGGGCCTGGGAGGCCCACAGCCTTCCCAGAAATAATGTGGCAGAGTGGGAGACAGAGTTGTAAGACCGGAGATCCCCAACCCAATGCCATTTCCAAGTGTTGCCCTGCTGATGTGACAACCGTGTTTCCCATGACAGCCGGCCTTACCTAGCTCTTCTTCATAATCCCTTTCAAATGGAATTCTGCTTCCTCTGATTATTTGCAGGAGCTTCCCCTTACCTTAGTCCTGAGCATGTGACAGACCCCAGGTTACTTTCCCACCCTGAACTTCTCCCAGGAACACTAGAGAGCACTCTCTCCACCCAAGAACATCTAACTTCTCTTGAAGTTTTATTTTCCTGCCATGTTTGGTGGACACAAGTGTCACTGGGCCCAGTGTGATTTAGGAGAAGCTGGAGCCAAGTAGCCACACTCTGTCTTGCGCCTCTGGGCTGTGTGAACAAATGACCCGGGACACTTCCCAGTGGAATATAATACAAATATTTCCCTCACACAGGCTCTGGTGATGAACCATGCCTGTAACTCTAGCTGCTTAGAAGGCTGAGACCTGAGAATCAGATTCCAAAGCCAGCCAGGGCAGGAATGTCCATGAGACTCTTATTTCCAATTAACCATCCAAAAGCAGGAAATAGAGCTCTGACTCAAGTGGTAGAGTGTCAGCTAAAAACCAAGCAAGAACAAAAGGCCCTGAGTTCAAGCCCCGGTACCAGCACAAAACAAAAACAAAATCAAAACCCTTCCCCCTAACCAGACTTATAATGGATGGCCTGAAACAAGAGAGCTGAAATCTAGAATGCTCTTCCTCTCCAGGTTTGCTCTTTGCCATTCCTCCAAAGAATCAAGAAACACTATGACCAATGACCTTTCCCACAGGGTCAGGACAGCAGAGCCGGCAGGGTCCTCACCCAGCAACCACAGTGATGGATGGGTGTCCCTCAGCGGGGCCTCTTGGCCCTGATCTCTCACTTTGGGCCAACTGACCTCCCCCCCCCCCCGACCTCTCCCCCAGTGGCTACACCTGCCCTGTGGACAGCTTCTGGCTGACCACCCATGAGGGACATCCTCAGGTTAGCGTATGAGTGAAGTGTGAGGTTTGCCTGCCACTTGTAGCTCAGAATAAGCCGGCTTCCTGTTATACCCCACTAAAGTGTGAGTGTCTGGTCAGCCACTCTGGGCTTTTGTTCTTTGAGAACAAACCCACTGTCTCCCCCGAGCCAAGCCCTTCCTTGAGGCTCACGGCTTTCCTTCCCTTTGTAGGAAGTCCTTCAGAGATCTCTCCATGTCTACTAGTTCCAGCCTCATGCACTTTCCTGTCCAGGCTGGCTTTAACCCATAATCTTCATATCTCAGCCTCCTGAGTAGCTAGGATTACAGGTGTGAGCCCCTGGCACCCCACCCACTGCAAGAGTTGACTTAATCTTTTTACTTTCCTGAATATGGTGGGATTTTGCTTCCATTTCACAGCTCTAGCTCACACAAGTGAGTCCCGGACGTGAAGTATCTTTCACAGATCTCTTACAGCAGAACACACAGTAGCTTCTCACTTGAACAGTTTTGTATCTTTGTGATGTACATACTAAAACAAATTTCCACTAATGGTATATTCAGTGAAATAAGTATCTAATGTGTCACAGCTCTAAGTTTCATAGAGATTTATTTCAAGCTGCAGTCATGTTTACAATATACTATGGGCAAAAAAGATCTTCTACAGTTGTTTCTAGAAATGCATCAACAAAATTACAGCAGTAGGACTATCTTCAGGCCTCCTCAAAACTAAAGAAAAGAGACAGAGGCAAGCTGGCATGAAGCTGGGGCAAACAGAAGCGCACTGGCATGGAGCTGGGCCACAGATCCTGTCAGAGGGCACAATGCAATGGTTCACCCAGGCATTTTGATTTCTGCCATAACTTATAACAAACAAGTGTCCTTATTGGAGGTCATCCCTGAAAAAACACACAGACTGCCAATCCATGTGAATTTAGAGCAGTGATTTCGCTCCCAGCCCAATGATTTCACTCCCACGCTTCCATCAAATAATTAATGACAGCCTGTCCTAACGAGTTCATCTCCTTTTTCCTCCATAAATATGGAGAAAATGTTACCCAAAGACTGAGAAAAATCATTTAATTATTACTTGAGGCACAAAAGATATATGAAAGGCAATGACTTTTTTTCTCAAGGGGGAAAAAAATCCTAGCTAGCCTTCCTTGCAGCGCATGGGTATAACGGGTCATTGATGCACACAGGTCATAGTGAGGGAGGGAAAGCTTTTCCTTTGCTCCATTGTGCTTCTGGTTCTAATCTCCCTTGGGCTTCCTGATGTGTCACATTCATTTGGATCATTTAAGCTACCCACAGCCTGTAATTCTAGCTACCCACAGCCTGTACTTGTAGCTGTTTGGAAGGCAGAGGGTTGAAGGATCGTGGTTAGTGGCCAGCCAGAGTAGATAAGTTCTCAAGACTCCATCTCAGTCAAGGACTCTGCACAGTGGTGCCTCCTGCTGTCTCAGCGATGAGGGAGTGACTGCTGGGTTCTGTGTGCCCCTGCGGGCACCTTTCTCCTTATCAGGAAAGATTTTAGGAACACTTGAGTTTGCTTGAAATTCTCAATCATTTCTGTAACTCAAATATGTTTATAATTAACAAAATAAATTACATTTATAATTACCAAAAAATAGAAAAAAGTGACAAACAATATTGGATGTTAATTGTCCCTTTGTGTGTATCTGTGCTAGTACTGGAGTTGAACTGGTGGTTTCTCGCTCACACCTTCTTTTCTCCCTTCCTTCCTGTTTGTGGACACATTGGAGCCTGAACTCTTGCTTGCCTCTTTTCCTCAAGGCTGCCATTTTACCATTGAATCTCTGACCCACTTCCAGCCTTTTCCCTGTCAATTTATGGTCAGATTGGTCTTCCCAGACTCAGATCTCAGCCTCTTGAGTAGTGGACTTAGGTATTAGATGTGTGAGCTACTAGCATCTGAGA